CACACACACACACACACACACACACACACACACACACACACACACACACACACACACACGGGAAGCAGCAGCTTCAAGCCGTTAAACACACTCTCCACAGATGTTCCCACGCACACACTGGCTTACGCAGCATTTCAGCTATCATCGTTACCATAGCCACACACAGACACACAAAAATCAGCAGAAAAACTGCCTGCCTGAGTATTTCTCTGCAACTATTTTACAAAAAAAAAAGTACTTGAGCAGCAACAGAAGTGCAGAGGAAGGGAGGTGTTGGAGTGGGTAGTATAGAACGCAGTGAGTGCCGAGGCAGTAAATTGACATTGTGTAACAGGATACCACACATCGCTCTTTTTGCTGCCTAGATCTCCACTACTATTTCCCCAAGTAGAAAAATCCCTTGGTCCACCTCCGACTCTTGGGTCCCGAGTGTTTGTCTGCGCRGCGGCTCTCTTAGTGAATCAATATTAAGACAGCGAGTGCAAGCTGCATCCCTCATTCTTAAACACACAAGGGAAGCAAATAAATCACGTCACTTGTTCTGTTCTAAGTCGTAATTTGTAGCGTGTCGGTGTCTTCACCTCCGAGGGAACGGAGAGGGTGGAAGCAGTTTTAGGCCCAAGTGGGTTTAAAAGGCTCAAGTAGGTGAAATGTTATACATATGTTGGCCGATTATTACACCAGTTAAATCTGGCCCATTTCAACACATAATAAAATTATTTCCAATTTCTAAAAAGAAACAGCTAAATTATAAATATTTCAAGTGAGGATATAAAGTCTAGACAGAGCACAAGAAGAGCTTTATCAGCTTGTTTATATCTCAGGTTAAGTGAAATAGATAACTTCTGGTAGAAACTTTGGACCTATTTCCAAGGTACAGTAATTACAGCTTTATTAGTGAGAGTTGTAAGAAAAAAAAAGATGAGTAGACATTTTTTCTGCATTAAGCTGTGGAACAGTAATCTGAACTGCTCGATAAACTGTGTATTTTTTTAATTTGAAAGGCTTTTTCTGGGCTAGAAACTAAAACTTTCTTCATACTATGACCCCAATATGTTAGGTAATGCTCGGCAGCATGAAAATTTGATTTGACTTATTGGAGTTTGTGCATAAAAAAAAAAAAATCACCAGATCAAGATCAATACTTGCTCTGAAGTCCTGGCACCTATACATCTTACTGAATAACTAAAACCTGTTAAAATCTTTGAACTAAGCTGAGCAGCACTACAAGCCTGCACTAGAAAAAAAAAAGTTTCTTCTTTTATATTTTTTGTTAAATTGTGTTCAAATGAAGTTAAAAACAATCTAAATAAAATGTAATTTCATCTGATTTTTTTGCTATAACATGCAGCTTTATACAAGTAAAATATATTTAATTGAAAATTGCAAATAAATATTTAGCAAACATGTTATGGAAACTAATTAGTGTTTCGTTTTCCAAGCTGCACACACAGTCGAGTTGCTGTATTGAAGAAGTCTGACAGCCTTTTTTTTATAAACAGAAAAAAGTTTGAGGAACTGGCACTTTAATCCAAGTTTGCTCAAGCTTTACTGAGAGGAAAATTCAACTCCAGCTTCTACCTGGAAGAACAGCTCGCAATGGCACCCTTAGCTCCTAAATTAGTATGCAACACCTGCCATTTATGAATAACCTGCACAGAACAAATATAAATAATGAATATAATACGTGTCCAATCCAAAGGTGGAGGAGAAGATATCAGGCTGAAAGTTCTGGCAAATCAAACGTGGCCTTTATTTAAAAACAGCATCTCAGTTTAGATCTGTCCTCCCAAAGGGAGAGCTTAGTCATCTAAACTCTAAAATAGGACTTATCATTCCACGTCTTCCTCCAGGATTGGTGAATGTCATTGTTTATTATTAGGCCAAACCATTTCCTGCCTTTCTCCAGTCCAGGCGAATTGTTGAGCGATGGATGAGAGGCAGAAACGATAAAGAGGCATGCAGATAAAGAGTTTAAAAACCTGTTTGTGTCTGGTGTACACAAAACACGAGAGCTTGCATTTGTAAAAAGGTTTTAATCGATCTGGCTGATCTACTTAGCCTGTGACTGGCACATCCAAAAAAAAAAATAAAAAAGTTAAAAAGAAGGCAGAACATGAGCACTCAGCTATTATCCAATCAGGCGGGAGAACACCGCGGTCCCTCCACAGTGTCCTTCCCACCCTCAGAGGCCTCTGAAAGGCTCCAGTTACATCATCGCGTAATCTAGAAGGTAAAGGTTCCCAGACAGCAACACAAAAAAACCAAAAAAAAAACGCTGCACGTACCCAAAGCGGTAATTAAGATCAGTTATCATAGAAGTAGGAGGACTGAAGAAGCAGTTAAAGTGAATTGATCGAGTGAACTTGTTTGTGATCTTAGAATCTGTTTTCCAGAAGCTCAGCTTGTTCAGGTACAGTAACAGTGTGGCAGCAACACAAAAACTAAATCAMCTGCAAGTGTTTGCTAAAACCCAAAGGATCTCCATTTTGATAACAATATTTCTGTTAGGAAACCTGCCTAAATTTACTTTTACGGTGCCTGAGCTGCAAAAACATGTCTGGAATGTAGTCATCACCAAACAGCTCCTAAATGTCAACTGGAAAATGGTTATGCATTTAAACTGAAGTATTTTTATAGAGATGCTTATTTATATCTAATAGGGGATATATTGTGGGAGCTGGATTACACAGCTGTTCAATAAAATAGAACAAAATAACAAAAACAATGCTATGTCTCTGTTGACATCTATGAATGCTGCTTAACTGCTGCTGTATTTAATAATTAATAATATTCTTTTATTACATTCTCTARATTTGGCTTTCAATCCTAGCCAGTCGTTATGCAGTATTTACAGCTATTTAGTCTTCCTCTGGACAATTATGACACACTCAGGCAACATTTAGATTTTCATTCATTTGAGAAGAAAATTGCAGAGAGGCTCTTCATACCTTTGGAATTCCCGGTCGATCAAGCCAGTCAGTGTAAATACCCTCGAGGGTGAGGCTTTTTCTGGAACACAATGGCACAAGTGTTAGTTTTATTCTTATTATTACAGCAAGAATTGTTATTGCCCAAGACAGCCTTTAAAGAAAGAAAAAAAAAACATCTTTGGGAAAATGTTGTTGAGGTCGTGGCAGACATGAGTTTAGGCCAACACCTTAAACAAAACGAGGAGCACACCCACTCTCCTACACAGAGTCAAGCAAACAGGCGTGTACAGACAATAAAATGGATTTTACACATATGCATGTGACACAAGCAAATGTGCACAAAAGTAAGTGAGCAACAAAGTTGAAGTTCGGCGCATGGAAATGGTCAAATGCCACACACAGAAACCACCGCGGGGACTGGAGTGACTCGCAAAAACAAATGTGTGCACAAACAAACACTCCACAAGCAGTCAGCAGCAAGTATCCAAACTGTAAAGTATAGACGGAGTAGAAAAGTAACCACACAGCATACCCTTCACCACACTATCAATCTTTCTGTCTGGGCTTAAAAAAAAAAAACCAACAACACTCTCCTCTTTTCTGCTCTCAAGCTTTTACAGTGTACCGTGACGCTTGGTCACTTAAAGGGGTTATTTTCTAATAAAATGTTCTCATTTGCATTTTTGGATCCCTGTTCTTCCTCAGGTATGCTCGTCTAGCTGAAGCTCAGTTACTGACTTCATTCATTTGGTAAGCATAAGAACCTTATTCCTTCATCAGAGCACCATTTAAAACACTTATGAAGAGGCCATATTATATCACGTTATAAACAAAATCTTTTTTTTTTCTTGTTTAAATTTGTAACTGAACACTTGGAACCTTAAGCGCAAACGGAAATTTCCATTAGAAACAGTGTGCTTCAGTTAAARTGGTCTTCAAAGACTGATTCAGGAGGTTGTTATTAGCATGCGAAATACAGTTCTATCAGTAAATGCTGTGAATATATGTAAACAAAAATAAATAAATAAATAAAAAACTATTATCCTCCAACTCGGAGCCACACCACTGCATGTGTAGCTAAAAATAAATTGGAGACTGGATTTGTAGCATGGACAGGGCTGTGCTTCTTGTCCTCCAACACTTGCTAACCTTTGTATTCTTAATAGAAATCATTTATGATCATTCCAAATTAGAGAATTTAGTTTTAAATGTGTACTTTTTAGGTGTATATGAAGTTAATTCTCCAAACTGCGCAAAGATTTCAGGATTTGTCACAAGTAAAGTTTCAGGTTTTTGCATTAAGTGAAAAAAAAAGTTTATTTTCTACAGAAACATCAATGTAAAGACCTGCTCGAGTAAAAACGTCATTGCAATTTCTTGTTTATTTAATTATTAAGAGTGGAAAACAAGAAATGAGTCACCGTGAAACCTGACTTCTAATTAAATTAAATCAATGAACAATGATTCTCTAATAATGTCTGCTTTTTATWTATTCGTTTATGTTTTATGCTTGGATAGTTCTGTTGAAAGAAGAAGCAGAATGTGTTGCCATGACCCTCAACAGTTGGTATTTCAATACTTAAAGCCTTCTTGGTTTTTGTGCTGTTTACTGACAGGGATCCCATCCAAATATTGACTGTGCCCAACTCCCTCTGTTTAATTCAATCAATTACTGCTGGTCCAGCAGCACTCTCCATATGACAGGAAAAACAAGAAGACAACAATCAGAGCATATGAAAAGGTAGCTGAGGAAGGGGGGAGTTGAAAAGGAGTGGTTTGAGACTGGGAGAAATGATGCAAAATACAGAAAAAGTGAGTAGAACAAGGTAAAACAGAGAGAGAGAGAGAGAGAGAGAGAGAGAGAGAGAGAGAGACGCGGGAAGAGGTTAATGAGGCAGTCAGGAGAGACAGAGAAGTGAATGATAAAGCACACACAGAGAGGAAGAGAGAAAATTAGAGAGAAGGGGAGCAGGAGGAGCAGTTATCCTTTTACACTTCAATTAATATGAGAGTGGATGAGACCATTCAGTTAACAGGATTGGTGGTTGGAGCTTTTGTTGGCCATGTTTCCACACCGGGAGCAGATTAGTCAGAGGGCAAATCACCAAATGCTCACGCATCTAACATCAATCCATTAACATCGCATCTATCTTCACTTGTTATCGAAAACCGACTCAAAACTAATAATTGAATAGGATGCTGCTGCTTTAACACCAATCTGAATTTAATTCACTAAGGTGTTCCTCACTGGGCTTACATACCTCTCCATGTGGGAAAAGATAACCAGGAACATTTGCAGGAAATCCTATTAAAAACAAAACAAAAACGTCAGACAGAAAATGGAGGTAAAGCGTTGGATGTGGGAGGAAGAGAGAGGAAAGCATACCTGATCTTTAGTCAAGTGTGCAAGGTCAAAACGTGTTTATGTTACATCCATTATTTAGTGGGCAGATTCAATCTGCCAGTGCAGAAACAGGAGCCAGGTGGAACACATCGCACACACAGACCTCCAGGTGTGATAACTCAACTGCATGCCCCCCGCCCCCACCCACTCAGCAGAATAAACTTATATAGCAGAGCTGATGTACCGAGCTCGACTTTAAATTCAGGTTAGAATGTTCAGATTTTACACAAGATTACAAATCTCTTCTGAAACACGATGCTCTCACCTGAGACAAAACAAGCTGCCCGTGGTATTTCTTTACAAATAGCCTCAAAAAGTCAATTAGCTGCTGCTCTCCCACTTGACTGGCCAAGAATCTGAGGAGGAAGTAGCCCTGGAAAACAAGAGACGTCAACAAAACAGAAACTATCTCAGCAATACAAACTTCAGAAAAAAAATAAGAATTTTTCAAATGATTTTTTTATTTTATTGTTTTTCAAATTTATTTTTGTCCGCCAACCTTTTTCCATTTTACTGCTTTTATAAATACTTTGTTTGTTTTGTTTCCCCTTTTAAAAACACACCAACCTTGAGGTAGTGGACTTGCATGAAGGTTTTGTCGGGGTTAAGGGCGTGTTTCACGTTACAGGAGCCCGAGTCACTGACCTGACCMGTCTTGTCCGTGTTCGGTCTGCAGGAGTTCGAAGAGAGAATGAAAACAAATCAACACAAAAGCTGATGGGACTAGGGCTGCACCGATTAGTTGAAATAATCGATGACGTCGATTATGTAAATTTGTCGACGCAGATTTTTATTATCGATTCGCTGTATTACATAACCACCACGTGATTGTTCATGCAATTCCATTTCGGTACCTAAATGCATCATTGCGACCGTATTGGCATAAGAGTGGTGAGTTTTCCATGCTTGTCCTGAACGCAGCATTGTGCAAGAGTGTAATGACGTCAGCAGCCGCTGCTTCAGTTCAGTCTAAGCTTGAAAACAAGCCTCGCAGCTCCTGGAGTAAAATTTACCAAACAGACCGCCTCTGAATTATCTGGTGGATTAATTGTCTTGTGAACATGACGTTCGCTTGCTCAAAGTAAATAAAGTACCGTCACTTTCTTTATTTCATCCACCATTAAACAGAGACCGGTGTTAGGTCGAGCCACGTTCCCCCATCAGACGGTTCCTCCAGCGTCTCAAACAACAGAGGAGCTTCCCGACACACGTCTGACCTAAAGAGCACAAGCAGCCAACAAGTGTTGGACGTGTTCTGGATGTTCAAAACGTAGCTTAAATACCTTTTATTTATTTTAACTGCATCCTCTTTTGTTTATTTGATTTAAACTTATTTGCCTTTCATGGACCTCCATCACATATTTTTCTAGTGGGGAAATGACATCAATAGAAACTCGTGGAGCTGGATTTTAATTTGTGCAATAAGACAAAACAGTCTTGTTGTTTTCAACAGTTTTCACCTTAAAGAAATAAGTTACACAACTGATGTTACAATACAAAGAGTTGGATGTTGTCTTGATATTTGTTAATTTTTATATATTGAGAAATATGTTAAATAAAAAATAATAAATAAATGTTTATTATAGTTTTTCCAGAGTGACTTGAATTTTGCATGATTTAGTTCATTTGTTAGATTGTTAACATCTTGCACTATATTTCTTTTAGTTGAATTTTATATGCTTTGGTTGAGATTTTATGTTGATGTTAAATCTTTTAAGCTTTTTTTGTTAAAGAATTGACTCTAGAGTGCATATTTTGTGTCCATGAAAAAACTATTAAAGAAAAATTACAATTTTAAAGAACTGTTCTTGTTAATTTGATGAAAACATTTTAAATATCCAGTGCACTCACATCAGAATAACTTTTAGATTTGTTGTTAGAATAATCGATTAATCGAAAAAATAATCATTAGATTAATCGATTAGAAAATAATCGTTTGGTACAGCACTAGATGGGACAGATGAGATGGTTATACTGTATTGTAAAATGTACAAAGAAAGATTTTTTTTTATCATACACTGTAAGCTAAAAAGGAGCCAAGAAATTATACACGGGACAAAGAAAAAAGGCAAAACCTACGCATGATATTTGAGAACTTGAGTCATAAACTTTTATTTTATCCCAGCCTTAAAGACATTTTAGTTGCAGGAAAACCACAGTTTCAACAGAACAAGAGTACACTGTCAGCAACATTAAATCCAGACAGCCAGGCAATCCCTCAAAGGCCAACACTTTGCCAAGTTGCCATGCTTTTCGCCTGAGGCAGGCTGGAAATCAAGCTGTGGATTTATAATGGAGTAGTATAGTCTTTATATGACCTCAGTGCTGGGCTCTGACTTTACCACCCGTGAGTCACAAAGCAAACATATAACACTTCCACAAGGAAAAAAAATATGTCCTCAACTACCAGCCTGAACAAGCCACGCTCTAGGTTCCACTTTTTCCGTCACTTAAACACAAATCATGRCCTAAACCTCCATAAACACACCAACAAACACACATAAAACCCATAAAAGGCAAGCAAACAAAGCCCTGACATGGGACGTTGTACAATGATAGTTTCAGTTAGCTGATATTGATCAGGATGAGCAGATTAACTCAGAGTGCCAATAGAAAGGCCTTGAAGGATCACCCTCCTACTGAGTCGATACCTCAGGCGCCTGGCCCACCAATCAATACCCCCTTCATCACTGGCCTCCACTCTTCCATCGGACTGCTTCATGACAAGATCACGRACACGCTAGAAACCAAAAACACAAAGCAGAGTTTCATATATGTTGTAAAAGGAACATAATAATGTCTACAGGTGTAAGCCACAGGTTGGACATAGGCTCGGTGTGTTTGTTCAGGCGTGGGGAGCAGAAGAGTGGGAACAGGGTGAAAATGGAGGACATTAGGGCAGCTGGCAAGGAGGAGGAGGAGGGGCGTGGGGAGCAGAAGAGTGGGAACAGGGTGAAAATGGAGGACATTAGGGCAGCTGGCAAGGAGGAGGAGGAGGGGGAGGTGTGGGAGAAATCGAGGACAGGAGATGGACAGGAATGTTTGGTTTGCTAACTAGACTGATTCCAGGAAGTCATCAGCTTCCTGGAATTTCTAAACTCAACTGGACACTCCAGTTGACTTTCATTACTTATTAAAGAGTGTATATCTAGTTGTGTAGATGTATTGATATAATATAGAAGTTACGTGTGGGGGAAAAACAAACAACAAAATAGAACTTATTAAAGAGTGTAAATCTAGTTGTGTAGATGTATTGATATAATATAGATGTTATGTGTGGGGGAAAAACAAACAACGAAATAGAAAATTYCAAACATTTTGCTAGTTATTCTTAGAGTTGCAAATATTTTCAGCCTGCCAGCTTGTCCTAAATGATATAACTYCCACTTTAATAGATTTTTTTCTCTTCTTTTAAGACCAGGAGTAACTTTTTCCACTTGCTTTCTGTCTTGTCCCTTTCACATAGTGCCAATGTCAGTCTGTCAGTAATGATAAAATTAAATGGGAATGCTCTTTCCCTATTTGAGTGTGTGTGTGTGTGTTGGGGGGTCGGCTTTGGTGACATTTGGGGGCAATTTTAAGACAAAAATCCTACATTTGGGAACAACTGGTGCATTTGGGGACAATTTTAAGACAAAAATCCTACATTTGGAGACAACTGGTGCATTTGTGGACAAAAGCCGAGTCCCCACTTGGTTTAAATGCCATTGGTGGGTTGGGGTTCAGTTTAGGACCAAGGTGTGAATTGAGTTTAGGTTAGTTTTAGGGTCAGGTAGGTAACTGTGAGGTTAGCCTTAGGGTTTGTGGTCAGGGTTAAGTGCTCGACACACGGGAGGCGACGTCGCTCGCTCTCCATTCATTTCCTATGGAAGTTGTGTGGTGAGGTGACAATCYCTTGCCCTCCTCKAGCCAAGRGACCGGCAAACATAGTGCATGTGAAATTTCGCGCTCWTARACACAGACGTGCACACGCYAGTTTGTGATGCGACATATGAAAGTTGAAAAARGTTCAACTTTTGTCGCTGTCGCTTAGCGTACAACCAATAAGGGAGGGTTTCATTGACTGACCAATGAGCAGAGAGTATGCTACGCACAGCCGTTAACTAACACTTTCACCAAGTGATTACTGAAAGAGGCAGCTTTGTGGGAATTTGTTGGCGCCAAGGTGAAGTTATCCGGTAAGTTTTTCTAATAAAATTGTATCTTGGTYTGTGTTTTTATTCAATATCATTAGCATCGCAAGATTTGTTTAGTTTACACGTCCGTAATGCACACACCCCTGTTTTGTGAACCACCAATAACCTTTACAAGAGGCAGTAGAAGAACCAATCAAATTTCGTGAAGACAAGCGACCTGAGAGCAACGCTGCCATTGCTATRGRGTCCCGTGTGTCAGGTTTCACCCTGGCTGCGATGACAGCCATGAATCTCTGTAGTTTGTCGCTACCCATGTGTTGAGCCCTTTAGGCTGTAGAAATGTAATGGAAGTCAATGGAATGTCCCCAGTTGGATAGCTGTGCAAACATGTGTATATGTGTGTGTGTGTGTGTG